CTGTTGGTTGAGTTATCACTTAATCCACTTGTACATTCATGTTGTTCCTATCTAATTATCGATATCAGATCTTACTCATATATTTTCAACTCTTTCACTCCATTTCCAGATAACTAAATTTTCGTCTTTGGATGAACCATTTCAGGATTTTTTTCTGACCAATGTAAAAATACCATGTTAAAATGTCTGTCACTGAAAATTGTATTATCTTGTTTTGAACCCAGTTATACATAATTGCTCAATCAACTTTGCAATTTACTCTGTGAGAAAAAAAGTATATAGAATGTCCAACTTGTTAACTTTAATAAGTTAGCCATTATCTACGTCATGTTGTTTGATGCTATACTTGTGAGGGAAAGCACGGTACCACTGCTTTTTTACATGAAAACTGTGTACAAAATAGATGATATCATTATCTTTTTACCCAAATTTGATTTTAGATTTTGCTGCATACAGTTTCTCTTTGTCTAGACTTGACAAGTCAGTTATCTACATGATCTTCTTTGAAATAGAAACAAAATACAATTTAAACTGTCCAGGCTTTGATAACCATTCTTTCTAAAATGATACAAAATCTTATTGATTTATGTAGTCATCCAAAGAATCAATTTGGCTCCACAAAGAACAAACTTGTCAAAACTTGATCCATCATGATTAAATTGAGTTTCTCTTGAACCATTCAGTGCAGACAGACTTTTCACACATCAATATCAATCCGTGTTATACCACGTCAGAGACAATGCAATAAAGCAAAGCTTATATTACTGAATCTCCACACGACCATTTAATTACACTTCATTGTATGTATTGGGATGGGAAAATAATAGTTTGATTTGAAGTCTGAAATAACAGACTGTGTTGAATATACCAAGTCTCTTCCAGGAGTGAAGCCGTTAATCAAACGAAAGATGATTGTTTGTTTGGGAAAGAGGAGACGTAACAATGTAATGTAATTTTCGACAGAAAACTGTGTCTGTGTTGGCAAAGTTTCTGGGGTGATGGGTTCCTAGAGACCAGTCTCATTCAGGTTACCAAATGTGGGGCGTCTAACTGATATTGCTGTCAAGTCTTGAAAGGACAAGGTACAATAATTTTAGGCCCCTTAATTATTGGCCCTCTAGATATACATTATTAAGAAATGGGTACGACTTGTTATCAAAGATTTGATCATGAGAATGAGAAATAGACTTTTTGTCAGTCAGTAACATGGTTTAGACCTAAAATGTGATGGTATTTCTAAGATGTGTCACAAGATGCTAAAAGAAAGTTAAGTGGTGTTGTCTGAATACATTATTATGTATTAGAACCAAGTTGACTTTCTTAGTAGAGGTAGGTAAAGACACATTTGGTTTAAACGTCATCTTGGGACACAAACTTGCTCATACATTAATTTTTTCTGAAAATAAAACAACATTACCCTATTTCGCTTATTTTAAATGTTCTTTCATACTTTGTCGTGTCAAAAACTGTCACAATGTAGAAATAAGAAAGTCAACTTTGAACATATCCAGTGGGCAGTAAAGGGCCATCATCCTACCTTGTACTTTACAACCCTGGGGATGCCTTCTGTGGTCTAGTTAGTGGAAGAGTGTCTTCTGTGGTCTAGTGGAAGAGCGTCTTCTGTGGTCTAGTGGAAGAGTGTCTTCTGTGGTCTTGTGGAAGAGTGTCTTCTGTGGTCTAGTGGAAGAGTGTCTTCTGTGCTCTAGTGGAAGAGTGTCTTATGTGGTCTAGTGGAAGAGTGTCTTCTGTGGTCTAGTGGAAGAGTGTCTTCTGTGGTCTAGTGGAAGAGTGTCTTCTGTGGTCTAGTGTAAGAGTGCCTTCTGTGGTCTAGTGGTCTTGTGGAAGAGTGTCTTCTGTGGTCTAGTGGAAGAATGTCTTCTGTGGTCTTGTGGAAGTGTGTCTTCTGTGGTCTAGTGTAAGAGTGTCTTCTGTGGTCTAGTGGAAGAGTGTCTGCTGTGGTCTAGTGGAAGAGTGCCTTCTGTGGTCTAGTGGAAGAGTGCCTTCTGTGGTCTAGTGTAAGAGTCTACATATTTCTATCTGATATAGATCTATCAATTTGTTCTTTTTGGTGTATTTCCATAAATTACATTTTTCACGGCAATTCACATCAGACAAATTGTACAACATTTTTTACAGCAATTCGCATCAGACAAAATCTTTCCCCAAATAGATCCAGAATATGAATTTAAAACATATAACATTAACGTGTGAAATTACCATCTCAAACTAAATGATCAAAGACGTCATTGAACATAGTGCATCCCATAAATCATAGACTATGGTTTGGCAGAAATACTTTCAGAGCCCTCCTCAAGAGAACAGCAACATAGTATTCTAACATCCATCAAGAGAGATCTGGGATCTATTGAACCATCACATTGTACTGACAGTCTGGGTCTAATTAATCAGGAGGTTCCCTGTTGTGTGAGGTGGTCCCAACCCTCAATAGGTACCCATTCACTCCCAGCAGCGGAGGGAAGTTATAGCTTCTTGAAGGAATCATTCCTGTTTGAGCGCCTTCTGTGGTCTAGTGTAAGAGTGTCTTCTGTGGTCTAGTGGAAGAGTGTCTTCTGTGTTCTAGTTAGTGGAAGAGTGTCTTCTGTGGTCTAGTGGAAGAGTGTCTTCTGTGGTCTAGTGGAAGAGTGCCTTCTGTGGTCTAGTGGAAGAGTGTCTTCTGTGGTCTAGTGGAAGAGTGTCTTCTGTGGTCTTGTGGAAGTTTGTCTTCTGTGGTCTAGTGTAAGAGTGTCTTCTGTGGTCTAGTGGAAGAGTGTCTGCTGTGGTCTAGTGGAAGAGTGCCTTCTGTGGTCTAGTGGAAGAGCGCCTTCTGTGGTCTAGTGTAAGAGTGCCTTCTGTGGTCTAGTGGAAGAGTGTCTTCTGTGGTCTAGTGTAAGAGTGCCTTCTGTGGTCTAGTGGAAGAGTGCCTTCTGTGGTCTAGTGGAAGAGTGCCTTCTGTGGTCTAGTGGAAGAGTGCCTTCTGTGGTCTAGTTAGTGTAAGAGGGTCTTCTGTGGTCTAGTGTAAGAGGGTTTTCTGTGGTTTAGTGTAAGAGTGCCTTCTGTGGTCTAGTGGAATAGTGTCTGCCCGGAGAGATGAAGATTGTGGGTTCATACTGAAAGATGTTAAAAGATGGTTCTTGTTGTTACCCTGCCTGGCGTAGGGCATTAAGGGGCTAAGACAAGGACTGGTCATCTCGGAGTCAGTGTCTATTGTGTCTGAATTGGATATATATGTTAAAACTTGCCATGATATCTCAGTAGGCAAGCACTATGAAATCGGCATTAGTCCGACTAACACAAGAAGCCACATGCACATTCATATGCCCACGCACACGCACACGCACACGCACACGCAGTGAAGCATAATAAGCTCCTGTAATTGTGGTACCCTTTGCCAAGAAATCCATCATCACTACTCCGTGCTGGTCCCAAAACACCGTGAGCATGACCTTGCCTGCAGAGGGTTGGACACGTGCCTTCTTTAGGGGTGGTGACTCCACATGCTTCCATTGCATCAATTGAACTTTAGTCTCAGGATCATAGTGATGGACCCATGTTTCATCCTGTGTGATAAGTCTGTCAAAAAAGTTTGACTGGTTTTTTTGGCACATGTCCAAAAGATCCTTTGAGTAATTAACTCGTTCCTGCTTTTGGAAAGGTGTGAGCAACCTGGGAATCCATCGTGCAGACGCCTTATGCATGTTCAAATTGTCATGGATGATTTTTTCCACAGACCCTACACTGATCTTGACATCTTGTGCTAGCTGGCGAACAGTTATACGTCGGTCTGCCAAAATGGCGGTCTCCACTTGATGGATAGTGTCCTCATCAATGGCTGAATGGGGGCGACCAGGAATGGCAGCTGTTTCCACAGATGTCCGACCACACTTGAACTGGCGATGCCAGTGTTTAACAACGTCATATGATGGGGCATCTTCCCCATAAGTTGCTTTCATTTCATCGAAAGTTTCTTTTGGTGTGCAACGTTTCAAATATAAAAACGTAATCACTGCTCGGTATTCTACTGGCTCCATTTTGTCACACCCTACTCGATCATAACACCTGTAAAAGTGGTAAGATTAATAGTTCGGTGCTGCAAATTCAGACATAACCCATAGATACATGTATCATTACACATGTGAAATTTCAACCAAATATGATAACCCTAAATGGTTTAGGGGAAATCTTTAATGAACACCCCTCGTATTTGTATCAGGGTCTGTGTGACTCCACGCTTTTACTCTTGTGTTGTTAGGCAGTATATTGGATCACCATGGTTCTGAAACTCAGACATTACAGACATCAAGGGATTTAATACTGGAAAAAGCACTTCTTTTTTTTTTATAATGTGCTGATGATGTGAAAAAAATCATCATGGCACTGATAATTTTCAAGGACTTTTTCAACATGATTCAATTTGCTGGACTAATTCAATGTGATTAAATTTTGCAATTCAATGTTAATCTGTATCCAGGGCTAATTCAATGTGATTCAGTTTGCAGGACTAATTCAATGTGATTAAGTTTTCAGGACTAATTCAAAGAGATTCAATTTACAGGACTAATTCAAAGAGATTCAATTTACAGGACTAATTAAATGTGATTTAGTTTACAGAACTAATTCAATGTGATTCAGTTTGCAGGACTAATTCAATGTGATTCAATTTGCAGGACTAATTCAATGTGATTCAATTTACAGGACCAATTCAATGTGATTCAATTTGCAGGACTAATTCAATGTGATTCAATTTGCAGGACTAATTCAATGAGATTCAAATTGCAGGACTAATTCAATGTGATTCAATTTGCAGGACTAATTCAATGTGATTCAGTTTGCAGGACTAATTCAATGAGATTCAATTTGCAGGACTAATTCAATGAGATTCAATTTGCAGGACTAATTCAATGTGATTCAATTTGCAGGACTAATTCAATGTGATTCAATTTGCAGGACTAATTCATTGAGATTCAATTTGCAGGACTAATTCAATGTGATTCAATTTGCAGGACTCCTCCCCATCCATTCATCACTGTCCTGACCAACAGACCAGAAAGTTGGCTGCTCCTACAACAGCAGGTGTATGCAATCTGTTGCCATGACAATGACAGGTATGTGTGTTTATTTATCTCATTCCATTAGCCACCACTCGCCTCTTTCCATAACCTGCAATAAGACTCGTCCCCCTAATGATGAATGTTATGTGCGAAAATACGACAAACCAATGAGAATGCATGTATGGCTACAAGTTCTTCGTCAAAGAATCCCTCTGGAATAATTTTTGATTTTACATATGTCTTGCATTTAAAAACATACCCAAGACACAGTTAAATGTATTCAATCATACTGTATAATTCTGCATGTCCTGATGTGCTTTAAATTGCATCTGAAATATATATAATATATGGGGAAATATATGTGAACCATTACGCAACGAGTTGACAATTGTTTTAGGCATGCCCGTTTGCGCTAAGACAGAACTCGGTCACCAAAAGGCCATGAGAGGGGCACGAGCCGCTATTCGGCTTGTCCTGGAATAACACGAGTTGGTCACAAATGAGCTCATTCATGTTTTCATTGTTCGCTTGTCCTGGAATAACACGAGCTGGTCACGAATGAGCTCATTCATGTTTTCATTGTTTGTTTTGGATCACCTAAAACTGTAAACTTATCAACTTGAACATTATTTCGGGACTGGTCATTTATCATACGGTGGGGGAAGTATGGGCAGCCTTTCAGTAGAAAAATACAAAGTTGAAATGAAGGACAAAACTACACAATAATAATGTTATTAATAAAGAATGAATGTTACAAATACGAATTATTTACATACAGATAATGAACTCAAAATACGAAACAACACCAGTGAACAACTCACCTAAAAGACGTCATATGTAAAGAAAGAACTATGTGTACTAAAGAATGTCAGGACCAAAAAAGGACACTAAACTGCTAAAGGACAACGTTGATGATAAAGAACGCCAGATGGTGCAATTTATAAAACATTCCAAGTTTTTTCGCTTTTTCAGCCCTGTGTATGATTAGGGTAGGTCAGGAAACAATGTGATATGTATGTTAGTAGGGCCATGAAAAATGTCCATGATACAGTCCTACAACTCATCTCACTCATCATGACCAATCTACAACATCATTCTATCACTTAGGTCACTCTTCCTATTTTATGTTGACAAGTATATTTTTAGCAAACATAAAATTAATTTTCAATTGATATCAGTTACATATTTCTATCTGATATAGATCTATCAATTTGTTCTTTTTGGTGTATTTCCATAAATTACATTTTTCACGGCAATTCACATCAGACAAATTGTACAACATTTTTTACAGCAATTCGCATCAGACAAAATCTTTCCCCAAATAGATCCAGAATATGAATTTAAAACATATAACATTAACGTGTGAAATTACCATCTCAAACTAAATGATCAAAGACGTCATTGAACATAGTGCATCCCATAAATCATAGACTATGGTTTGGCAGAAATACTTTCAGAGCCCTCCTCAAGAGAACAGCAACATAGTATTCTAACATCCATCAAGAGAGATCTGGGATCTATTGAACCATCACATTGTACTGACAGTCTGGGTCTACTTATCAGGAGGTTCCCTGTTGTGTGAGGTGGTCCCAACCCTCAATAGGTACCCATTCACTCCCAGCAGCGGAGGGAAGTTATAGCTTCTTGAAGGAATCATTCCTGTTTGATAGGACGATAAGATTGGTGTTTTCTTTGTTGAAACGAGTCTGTTACAACTGAGTAATTGTATTTGTATTACATGAATATTTCATTTTATGGGTTTCAAATGTTTATGTTCAAATGATTCAATTATGTGTGTTTACGGGATGCTGTTTAGGACTTTGATTGAAAACTAAGTTACGAGGTGTCGATTTTATGAGTGATATGGCATTTACGGATATGTGGTTTGTATATATATCATGTCTGAATGATGCACAATCTCATCTTGTATTGGATATTGACTGGGGCTAGAATGCAGTTTCCAGAACAGAGCAGACGTGAAAAGCTATTCTGATGTCGTATACTTCCCATAAACCAAGTCTTAACATGAAGTGTGTCCTGCCTTCTTCCCAGACATGCAGTTCATAAGCATCCAAAGAGGATAAAACAAGATGAGGAGTCTGTCAGACATTGTGTCCGTTGCTGCGTTGATCAGCTAATCAGGACGGGTCTGTGGTCATGAGCGCAGGCAGCAGGTGTATGGGGCACTCCTTCTGATGGTGTGAGTGACAGGGCAATATTCAAGGGGATTTGTGGCCTTATTGAAGCTTTGGATCAAGAAATCAATTACCCCACACCTTGTCCATAGTCTTAGAACATATGCAACACTACCCAGGTAGATCAGAAAATCTGTGGGTTGTGTGATCATTTATTGCCATATCATTAGGTGAAACCTGCATCAACTTCCCGAGGCAAGGGAGGTAACTGACTAAAAAAGTCCAGTTTGCACCCTTGCCTATAACTGGGCTGGAATTTCTGAGTTATGTTTTGGGTGGATTTTTTAGTCTATGCATAGTCCAATCAATATTGAGGAACGGAATCGATGTCCTGTTTGTTAACAACATGGCGACTGCCGTGCAGATTTCAGTTGATTCCTGGGGATTTGCATGTGTACTTTCAATTTGGCATCGTCAGACATTTTCCAAATCTGTTCACAGTTTAAAGTGTTGTGCTAAAATATACATGCACTTGGTGTTTGTGAGGCAGGGTATGTGAAACTTTTCTACAACTACCTTCATTAGAACATCTTGACTGAGGGGCGGTCGGGAAGCCTAGTGGTTAAAGTGTTCGCTCGTCACGTTGAAGACCCGGGTTCGATTCCCGACATGGGTACAATGTGTGAAGCCCATTTCTGGTGTCCCCCGTCATGATATTGCTGGAATATTGCTAAAAAGCGGCGTAAAACCATACTCACTCATCTTGACTGGGTACCGCCATTTCGTTTGAAGCAAATGCAAGTGATATGAGAGGTGGAATCTGATTGGTCAATAGGAGGGACGTGGAAGGGACATAAATCATATTAGCCACTGGTAGCGGTACGATCGAGCCACAAAATTCCCGTCTAGTTAGGCTAAGGTGGAAGCTGGACGGTTAACTGGACAGTTAACTTCCTTGCCTCAGGAAGATGCATCATTCTGTAACAAGCAGGTTTTCTGCATTTGTTTGGCTCCATTGACACTTTGAGTGTTTGTGTCTTTGAGTTCTTAGTGTTGAAATGATGAAACTATATCTTACTATGAAACACACAGTTGTCATCGGTAGTCACTGGGATGATAGGTGTTCTCTGTTGCCAAATTCTGGTGTCCCCCGCCGTGATATTGCTGGAATATTGCTAAAAGTGGCATAAAACCATACTCACTCACTCACTCTGTTGCCAAATAGTGGCATTTTCAATGAGAGCATCCAATGACAGAATTTGGTTAGCAATCATTGACATGATGACGCCTACAGTTGCCTCAGCAGAGCCCCACATGACTGAACACCGATGAACTCCTTAGTCATCATTGGTGACAAGTCTTTGGTGTTAACAGGGTTATCCAAAGGCCAATTAAACTTAAGTAAAACTGTCCAATTTCATTTGGGCTTTTTGCCTCACCCTAAAAGTTTTATGAAAACACATCTTACCTTTGAGGTGGCTGGAAAAGACTGATTGGTTACAGTTTGTGTGTGAAATGTCCGCTCAAGTGTTATATATATGGTAATTAAAGCAAGTCTAGCCTATTCTTTTTACCCTATTATCACTCTCTCACCCTCAAACCCACCCACTCGCTCACTCACCCACTCACTATGACAACTGAAGTTTATTATGATCATTTTAGCTTATCAATGATTATTATTAAGTTTATCAGTAATTCACAATAGGTACCTGGTCAGGTGACAGTCAGGTTTCTTTTCCAATTTGATTAGGAAGGCACACGGTGCAGTAACCACAAAGACAACGGTGAAGGATAGACCAGACAGTTTAACTGTCTTCGAGGATCCATCAATCTCACAATGGACTTTGTGCTGATTCAATTCAAGAAAAATGGTTTAGAGTCAGGGAACTACAAACCATCACAGCCTTCATGATGTTACTTTTATCACAGGCATTTAAAACAACAGATCAATTACTGTCAAGATTTGTAGATGACTTTTCACTAAGGCTTCTTGATACGAGGTGAATGGACGGAGGCAGACGGAATGGGGATCAGTTGGTAAGAATGGAAGGAAGCAGACAGAATGGGGATCAGTTGGTATCAATAGAAGGAGGCAGACAGAATGGGGATCAGTTGGTAAGAATGGAAGGAGGCAGACAGAATGGGGATCAGTTGGTAACAATAGAAGGAGGCAGACAGAATGTGGATTAGTTGGTAAGAATGGAAGGAGGCAGACAGAATGGGGATCAGTTGGTAACAAAAGAAGGAGGCAGACAGAATGGGGATCAGTTGGTAACAGTAGAAGGAGGCAGACAGAATGGGGATCAGTTGGTTACAATGGAAGGAGGCAGACAGAATGGGGATCAGTTGTTAACAATGGAAGGAGGCAGACAGAATGGGGATCAGTTGGTTACAATGGAAGGAGGCAGACAGAATGGGGATCAGTTGGTTACAATGGAAGGAGGCAGACAGAATGGCGATCAGTTGTTTACAATGGAAGGAGGCAGACAGAATGGGGATCAGTTGGTAAGAATGGAAGGAGGTAGACAGAATGGGGATCAGTTGTTTACAATGGAAGGAGGCAGACAGAATGGGGATCAGTTGGTAAGAATGGAAGGAGGCAGACAGAATGGGGATCAGTTGGTAACAATGGAAGGAGGCAGACAGAATGGGGATCAGTTGGTTACAATGGAAGGAGGCAGACAGAATGGGGATTAGTTGGTAAGAATGGAAGGAGGCAGACAGAATGCGGATCAGTTGGTTACAATGGAAGGAGGCAGACAGAATGGGGATCAGTTGTTAACAATAGAAGGAGGCAGACAGAATCGGGATCAGTTGGTAAGAATGGAAGGAGGCAGACAGAATGGGGATCAGTTGGTTACAATGGAAGGAGGCAGACAGAATGGCGATCAGTTGTTTACAATGGAAGGAGGCAGACAG